CCCCAAAACCCCAAAACCCCAAAACCCCAAAACCCCTCATGGAGTTTAAATTATTGATAATTTAAATAAAATGAGCGAAATTGCATGGCTATTCTACCATCTCTGGCTTAAGCCTCACACAATGACAATATCTAAAAGTGACCTTAATGAGTTTGAAGAAATCAAAGAAACCAGGAAGGGTATGAAATTAGTGAAGTTTCCCTTCGAGATTCCTGAAACTCTGATCTACAAGTCGGGGAAGGTCCAAGACTGGTACTTCAAATCAAAAGAGGATGTGGTTTTAAAATAAGAACAAGTCCACTATAAAGCCAGATTACATTTTAGAAAAGTTTAATAAAGATATTAAGAAGCTTAAATGCCCAGTAGTAGCGACAGCTTATAATTCATGAGAGGAGGAGACAGTAACAGGAGCTTCCAAACTTTCCCTAACCACGCATCATATTCGATCCTCTGCTCTAAGATCGTTGATCAAGTTTGAAGATAAGTCCTTCTTCACTGTATTTCAAAAATTCGTACCTCCAAAAGAAGATAGAAATTGCTTAATAAAGTGAGTATGGACCCCAACATTAATGAGTATTTACAAGCGAACCAATCCGAACTACCTGATTCACAAGAAGAAAGAGTATAATTACAGATTCAGCAGGAAAGAAGAAGACCTCGTGCCCACATCTACTGAGGAGGATGCTAAAAATATAGGATTTTATGGCAAAATAATCACCTATGAAGGTCCCCAAGACATGAGCTATGAAGAACAAGTCTTCTCCACCAAAGTTATGAAGGAAGTCACACAGGCTATTGATGCGATAGTTGAGCATCTCTCTCAACAAGAGATCACCCTTCTGAGCGCTAACTTCTTCTTCAAATATAGCAGGAATGATAAGATTTATCTCTGCTTTGCTACTAATATCAATGTTAACCCTGAGAATTACCAAGAAGTCGCTATGGATAGAGAAGTTACCCTGAAAATTCCTGAGAAAGAAGACTTATTCAATGATCCTGAGTCTCAAAATCGGACAAGTTCAGTCCCGAGGCCGATCGGACCGAAAGATGTAAGAATCAGGCCTACTAGCTCAAAGCCTGAGCAAGCTTACCGTAGCCTGGTCTCTCAAAACAGATTGAAATATTTCTGTCCACTTTGAGAGCAGAAAATCTCCCTCGATGATGGGTACGAATACACTATGAAAACAATAATCGACCTGATAAACTTCTACCAAGATAACTTCGACAGCGAAGATACTAAACTCTCAGACCGCTTAGAATGTTTGATCTTGCCCATGAAGATTAAAACCATCAAAATCAGCAAGAGTAGGAGATCTGAAGCCAGGCAACAATTGAAGACAATTCCCCTCCCAATTCGGGCCTTATACCCCGGAATGAGTTACCAAACCTACAAGCAAAAGATGAAGGACCCGCTTTTCCTCTACGATTCAGTCAAATTATGCGAGAAATGCTATAATTTCATCAGAAACCTTCAAGAAATCAAGGATGAGTATGACCAATATGTTCATAAAGAGAATTTCAACCATGACCTAAAGATCATGGAATCTATTTATGAAGAAAAGAGTCTTATTCATAACCTCAGCCCAGAGAAATCAGCTATGAAAGCTTTTGAAGGACTCAACGAGCAAGGAATGATGACTTCCAAGAAGAGCAATGGCTCAAATGATTTGTACTCAAAGGAAGAGGCTAAAGACTCACCTCTCAAAGACGAGATCGCTAAGCTTCGCTCTCGGAGCGAAGCTCAGAATCTTCTTAGACCTGACCAAGAGACCTCTGATTTAGAGAACATTGATATTGGACAGCCCAAAATTTTCAATTTTTACTCTATCAAAGGGAAAATAGACTCTGACTCCAAGCACCATCATGTTGAGATAGACACTAGTTGACCAAAGGCTTCTTCCCAAGCTTCAATGAAGAAAGAACCTGAGCGGAGCCAGGCTCTTTTCTTGCAGCATGACGAGAAGGTATCCCAGAAACCTTCTGGCCAGACCAGCATCTTCTCAGCAGCAAATGAGATCAAGTCTTCAGACCTTCAGAAGAAAATCTTGAGCGATTATTGCAAATCAGATTTAATGCCTAACATTTCTCAAAAATTTCAAAGCGAGAACTTAAAAGCTGAGCATAATCCGAAAGCAGATCTCCTTAAAAATGCCTTCCTTGGTTTACAGCAGTATGCAAAGGAAACTGAAGATGAACCAAAACCCAAAGGCGAAGGTCAAAGAAATGGTGAATTTCAAAGTAATGTTTTCTTACCGCAACTTTTCCAAACTATCTTTTAGCCAATATCTGGGTTTCTACATCCAGAATGGTATTATAAAATCGCATGACATTTAGAATTCTCCCAAAATTTTTTCTGTCCCGAAACTTAACTTAAAAATAAGGTTTTACCATTTCGGAAGCAAAGTTTATCTAAAAATATTTGAAATAGTTTCCCAATCCTCATAAATCAAAATTATCAATAGCAAAATTTTTCCACTAGAAGTTCATAAAACCCTGGCTTGAAACAGATTTCACAACTTTGAAATTTTAAGTTATAATTTGAAAATCTTATCAATTTTAGAAAACTTATCTCGAAGAAAAGTTCAAAAAGAGCAAAGTATTAAACCAAGGGAGTCTAAACTAACAAATTTTTACCAAAACCGTCCATATAAGCCTGCTCTAGCTGCACACAAGAAGGTAAGGACCGAGCTGAGCTTTCTGAGAGGAGGATTTGGCTCAAGCAACTAACTACAATAGACGAAGAAAAAGGCACCGAAATCAACCCTTCGACCAAAAATCCCTAGACCTGAGTACCCTAGATTCCAAGGAGAAATGTCAAGAGAGACGTATAATAAGTTAATGCTCCTTGCTGACCACATTGAGAGGAATAATTTCACCCAGGATGGCGAACTTCCAGGTATTGATTGCTTAAAATTCTAGAAAATCTACATGAAATTCAGCATATTCCGGGCCAAAACCACAGTATTGATCCTGATGATTTGTACCCAGAAGAAGCTAATAGCGAGAAGCCTCATATGGTACCAAAGAGGTTGAAGATCCAACAGTCTCGAAGAAAGAGGCCTAGGCCTAGCTCGTGCAAGCGCTATGGCTCAGCTGTTCAGAAGATAAAATAACCATGCATTCATGATCAGCAACAACTCCAGTAATCGTTTTCAGAGGTAAATCAGTCCAAAACAGTCTTAATTGATTTAGAATGAGTCAGTGCAAGGAAGGACAGGAAGAGTCAAGCATAAACCAGAGCTCGCATACCGGTAAGGCTTGAAGCTTAAACCTCTGTAGCTCCTCAGATGATCGGTCTGACCATGAATTCGACAAATCCCAGCAGAATTAGGAGGAAAACCAAGGACTCCTTTAGTACTATAAACAGAGGAAATGTTACAGAGTACCAGCCAGGTAGAAAACCCAAGAGAAAGCCGACTTCTCGCGAACGAGAGCTTGAGATAATCAAGAGGAAATATGCTGCATACAGAAGTAATATTTCCAACCTTCATGGTAAGTTTTGGCAATAACTTTTAGATCAAAGACCTATAATCCCAGCTAAGAGTAAGACGAAAAAGAAGAAATCTCAAAGCATGAGACGAAAGAGAGCTCCCAAGCAGAAGTCACAGCACTTGGGCTTCCCAGATTGGAACCAAATTCCCCCAGAATTTAGAGCGGAACTTGAAGCCTTGGCTGATAAGATCAGATATACACAAATGGCTGAAAATCAGCCGCAGAACTTGCTTCACAACCCAATGAATGAAGGGTCTTTAGAGATACAAGATATTGATTACACAACCAATCAAATTTCAAGACCAGAGATGTTCGATTTAAATTCTCCACAGGATATGGCAGAAAAGGCCAAAGGGGAAAATCTTGACCTAGACATGCTGAATAACCCTGCTCCAATAGATATAAGTATTGAAAAAGATGAAGTCGGCATAAGACAAGACTGGTGGTAGAATGAATATTTAAACCCTTCAACTAAAAATTCATCATTAGGGGTTTTGGGGTTTTGGGGTTTTGGGGTTTTGGGG